CTTTTCAAAAGAATTCATAAATGCAAGCAAGGGCTCGGGTTCTGGGATATGTGAATGTATTGTAGATTTCTATTTTGATTTCGTTCTATTTGTGGATTTTTAAATTTTTGGTGGGCTATTCTTCTGCACATGCGGTTCTAAAATACTTCTGGGGGCAACCTGGGTGGCGCAGGTGGTTGAGCCTCTGACTCTTGGCTTTGGCTTAGGCCGTGACCTCGGGGTCCTAGGATCAAGCCCCGTGTGTCATGTCGGGGGTGGGGGGGTCCATGCTCAGCAGGAGAGTCTGCTCTCTCCCTCTGCACCACCTCCCCCCCCACTCATGTGCGTGCTTTCTCTCAAAATAAATAACATCTTAAAAAATAAAAAAAAATACTTCTGAAGTTGGCCTTGAGCTTCTGAACATACACAAAAGCCAAAACACCCTTTTCAGGTGTCCCGTGTCTAGCTGCTCCTGACACGTGTGCCCTGAGGACAAAGAAGCTGGTTTTCTCCTGATAAACAGCAACAGCTTGTATTTGGGGCTGTGCTTCTGCAAGCCGGAGCCCATTTGTGTAGAAGGTTCAGGTAGCAGGTAGGAGCGTGTGATTAGGAAAGGACTTCCATGTTCTCTCTACTCCACCCGTGAGGGACTCTATGTTTTACTCCATGTCACCCAAAGCCAACAGGAGCTCAGAGTGATGATTAAGCAATTTAGGGGAGACTCTGTGATCACAATGGCAAAGCGCACCCAACTAGAGACACTGGAATGAGCCAGGGTCCCACCCATTTCTGGACAGCGATCAGCTACCCACCCCCCCTTTTTCAGTGGATCATATGGAAACACTTGAGTGGGTTCTCACGGGCGGCTTCTGAGGTCCTCTGGCTGTGTGGATGGTTTGCGGATGCATACCAGAGGATGCCTCCAGGCCGTCGGAAGGAAAGGCAGCAGGCTCAGCCTGTCGCTGCCTCTACTTGAATGTTGGCTCTCAGGATGGCGGTGTGTGTGACTGAGCTGCAGTAACTGGGTCAGAGTGTCAGGCAGGGCCTCTGCCGGGGCTGGCGGTGCAGCTGTTGCTACAGAAGGGCCTCCAGGCGCAGAACTGGGCGCCACTCCCAGTCTCCTGAGCCGCGCTGGGGGCCTACCGGGGTGGAGCTCCGTCAGCCTGGGCCCCGAGTAGGGGTCGTGGTGTTGCTGGAAGGCTGCCCTCCCAGGAGCCGGCTGCCTCGCACCCTGGGTTCCGGGGCCCTGCGGCTCTCCCCGCGCGCAGAGGCGCGGCCAGACATACCTGCAGAGCCGGGCTGACCTTCCGCGAGTTTGCAAGGGAAGCACAGACGGCTGCCGGTTCGAACTCCGGCTGCACTGGGGAACTGGCCGGGCCAGAGACGGGGGAGAGTGGAGCCGGGCGGCTGTGACACCTGCAGAAGGCCGGCCTGGAGCAGTGCAGACCGACTTCGGGCACTTTCTGTGTGACTCGCATCAGCCCGCGGTAGCGTGCCCGCACAGATCCGTGGGCGCGCAGCTCAGGTGCCGGGAGTGCAGCCTGCGTCCCCAGAGACTCACGGGTGCCTTCCACGTAACAGACGGACTCTTCCCGACGACGGTGGTGTTGATGTTGGGGGTGAGAAGGAAGAGGCTCCCTGCCACGTTCCTGCCGCCGTGCCTCAACCATGGCTCCAGTTTAGGTCTGGTTTTCCTGCAGGTCCTACCCCGCGTCTTTGCAGACAAGGACACTCCTCGGGCTAATGAAACTCAGGCATCTCTTCGTCTTCCAGCCCTTGCAAAGGCCTATTCTTATTTCCTGCGCAATCTGTCCATTAATGTCTTAAAGAGGGCTCCCCAAATGTCATCGGGTTCAGGGCTGCGCCACCTGGTCCCGCCTCTGTCACACAGTGAATGTCATGGTGGGGAACCCAGCCCAAGTCTGCTCACAGCTACTGGAAATTTCTCTGGTGTGCCAAGTGTCACTCCCTCTCCATCTCCTCTCCACTGCCCGTTCAGTCTCTGGTTCAGTTATGCTTTGCAAATTCTGCACACTCTGGAGCTCCCACTGAATACCCAACTGCTTACCTGTCACAGCAAACCCAGATGTCCCATCACGCCTCAAACTCTGCATGTCCTAAACTGCCCTTATATCCCGTACTCTAGCTGGGAAGCATCTTCTGACTGCCACCCTCTGGCCCCATACAACTGATCAATCTCACCTACCTTCTAAACATCACCCTATTACTGACACCCTGCGCCCCTGCCAGTTCTGGCCTATGCCACTGTAATTACGTCCCAGTTTGCAAGTTCTGCCGTGTATTTCTCCAGCTCATCCTCCACTCGCTGCCAGAGCAATGCTTCTAGGACAGTGAGACTCCGATCTGGCCCCTCCTCTGCGTCAAATATTTGGTGGCTCTCACTGCCTCAAAGATGAAACCCCCTTCACAGACCCTTCAGGGCGCCCCCAGCTACCCTCTGGGGCCTCGTCAGTCTCCTCTCTGGCTGGCCTCCTCTGGCCCTTGCTTCCAGCCCAGTGGGGCTGTGTGCTTCTCCACCTGGCCCGCTGCTCCCCTTCAGGGGCTTCCATGCACGCCTACATGCCCGCCTGCCCCATGCTTCCTGCTCCCACTTTGCCACCTGTGAAGACTTTTCTTTCCTCCTTAAACCCAGTGACTCTCCTTTAATTCCACACCGACCCTCACGCAGAGCTCTCCGGGAGCACTTGGGGACACCGAAGCAATTATCATACACTTCACTCCCTGAAGGCCTGGCTGGGCCTTGGGTTGTATCTTCTGTACCTCTACACCTTCCGCTTGGCTTGGCACGTAACAAGTATGCAATAAACATTTTTCTGAATGAGCAAATGAACAGTGACTTTGGTGGTTTGGTTGCTCCTCGATTAGTAACAGACTCAAGAATCTCAACTACTGGGGCGCCCGGGTGGCTCAGTTGTTTGGGCCTTTGCCTTTGGCTTGGGTCATGATCTGAGTCCTGGGGTCAGGTTCCCTGCTCAGCGGGGAGTCTGCTTCTCCCTCTCCCTCTGCCCCACCCCCACCTCGTAACTACTTCCTCAGAGGCCACAGAAACATCAGTTATTTTACATAACAACTCGGTTTGAGTACAGCCAACAGCCTGAATAAATATCCTGACCTTTTAACATTTTTATTTTGCTGACCTGGATAAACTCAACAAATGACAGTAAATCCTCTCAGTCAATGGCTGATTATCCACACCTTTGGCTTCGTACTTTTCCAGATCCTGAAGCCTGTCACAGAGTCCTACAGAACAGCGACAATTGATGGAGTCCCTGTAATGTGCCCGCCCTGAGTTTCCTGTCTATTGGGTGCTCATCAATTCTGTAATCTTCATTAGTACCTCAATTAGAGAAATGAAGCCAGCTTACACTTATTAGTAAATGAAACCAAATGCCAAAGAATACATGTTAGCATGTCTTTTCCACCCCCAGAGGGAGAGCAGAATTCTGCTGCATTTGAACAAACTCTGCTCACCGGCAGCTATGCACATCGGCCTTGGTCTTCCACCAAGTGTGGGTGATTGGGAGCTGGAGGGATTGGAACCAGGGTTTCCTGAGAGGATCTAGGAGGGTTCTCAGCTCTTGCAAGCAGGAAAAAAGGCCAGGCAAGTTGCAAAGAGAGGAGAGTGGATGTCCAAAGAAGGAGGGAAGAGACCATGCAAAAAAAAAAAAAAAAAAAAGCACAGAAACATACAAAGGCCACGTGGGAAAGAGGCAGAGGGGAAACCGGAAGAAAAGAGACAGTGTGGAAGAAGCACAGACCCTGCGACTGAGAAAAACACAGAAGGAACAAATCACGCAGGGCCCAATGCACATCTGGCAGCATAGAGTGGCAACTGGAGAGATCTGGGATTTAGCCATCGAACAATGTGCCCCTGGACAGCCAGGTCCCTACTGCACGCTTCCCAAGGGAGAGCAACCCCTTCACTTGCTCAGGATCTTTTCTTTGAACTTAACTGACTTACTGATCGACAGAGTGAAAATCCTCCCCAGCCAAGGGCCATTTTTTCCCCCTATCATTTTAATAAAGAAGCTGGCTAAGGCAGATGCTAAGCAGACAGCCTACGATAAGCTCAGATATGTAGCACGGATTTCCATCCCGTTCGTGGATAAAGAAGCTTGGAAAGCAATCCAGAATGACATAATGGACCAATATTGCTTTCTCTCTCCCACAGCAAGTGTGCTTTTGATAGACTTTTAATATGTATTTCGGGGCTTGAACTGCATACCATCTTCTCCATTATTCTCTGCCAGAGGATCTGAATGACAGCGCTAGCCCAGAGATATTTTTCCATTATAATTTTTCAACTTGTTCTGGTCTAAAAATGTGTGTAAATGAAAACAGAGAAAAGTCAAGCACCATGTCCCCTTCAAACATTCTGTTTTGTGTTTATGATGGCCTTGCAGACCCCGCTCTGCTTCCCTTTTTTTTGGCAAATGACCTTATTTTTTCCAGATTTCCGATCACTTCTAATATGCCATAAAATATTTACCCGATTTGCAGGAACGCCTCTGACACTTCTTTATTTTTCACCCTGTTTTGACCTACAATTTCTTCTTTTAGCTCCCAGGCACCAAACCCCCACCCCCAAAACAAAGCAAAACAAAAAACCAACAAAGCGCACTGACAAGCTTTGGGAAAGCTCAGATTGGCCTCAGGACTGAAGAGAGATGTTCCCTCCGTTTCTCAAGTGCACGGAGCCCCCACCCTCCTGGGCCAGGAAACGAAGTTAGAGGACAGTCCCTCAAAGCCCTTTTGCCCATCTGCTTTGGGAGAGCTGGGCCCGTCTCCTTACCTTAAATAATTGTAACAGCTCAGGTTTCCCTAGTGACCGGAAGAAAAAATATTTACCCGGGAACTCAGACTGGATGACTGTGGAGCAATTTGTATACACTCAAATTAGCAGGGGCTTGGTGAGCCCGGAGGCCCTGAGGCTGCACGGTGTAATATTTTTACTCACTTCTCTCTGCGAGCCATCCGCCCACAGAGGAGAGAATGCTTACCTTCCGCGGCTTCACTTTATCGTGGTAGTCATACTGGAAGATTCCTTTGTAGCTCAGTCCCAGCCACCACGGTATCCCCTGCTTGTCCTAGGGCACGGAAAGGAGGGCGGGTAAATACAGGGCCGGAGAACACACATGGGAACCAAGGGAAGGCCTCCTGGCTCATGCAATGACAGAGGAAAATACAAATCCCTTGATACGGATGGAGCCCACCTCTCTCCTTTTCACCTTAACAGATGCGCCACATCATCAGATGATGCTTAGTTACATGAACAGGTGCCATGCAACATGCCCTGGGGTGGGGACCCAGCTCTGTTCCTAACGAGCAGCACACCGTGATCCTCCCCATCCCCCTTTATGAGTAAGTGACCAATGCCTTGTTCTTGGTCCTCCTTCTAAGACTCCAGGTTTCACCACAACAGAAAATCTGAGAGCATTCTAATAAAATGACCTTCTGAGCCGAGAAACTGTCATTGACTATCAGAGCTAGAAGGGACCGTGGAAAAGGTGACTCCTCTAATTTTTTAAAGACTTTCTTTATTTATTTTTTTTTTTTTTTTAGAGAAGTCTGAGGTTCATAGCAAAATGGAGAGGAAAGTACAGAGATGTCCCATACACCCCTGCCCCCATACCGGCAGAGTCTCCCCCACTATCAACATCCCCACCAGAGGGGAACATTTCTTATAACTTGATGAACCTACATTGATACATCATGGTCACCCAAAGTCCAGAGTTTACATTAGGGTTCATTCTTGGTGTGGAATCCTCTATGAGTTTGGACAAATGTATAATGATGTGTATCCACCATTATAATAATATCACTTGGAGTAGCTTCACTGTCCTAAAAATCCTGTGTTCTCCCAACTCGCCCCTTCTCCCCCTCCCAGGTTCTGGCAACCAGTTTTGCCTCGTCCAGAATGTCATATCCCAGAACGTCGTATCGTTGGAATCACACAATATGTAGCCTTTTCACCTTGGCTTCCTTCACTCAGTAATATGCATTTAAGATTCCTCCAATTTTAAAGACAAAGAAGTCAAAGCAAAGGGTTGGTCCTGCTCCATTCAGGACTCACCCCATCTCTCCAGCAGGCCAATGGCAGGGGCCACCATGTGGTCCTGCTCATCTTAAGGGGTCCGCTGTACTGAGTGACTCATGCTGTCAGACAAAAGTAGCAAAATCGAAGCCTAGATCTTCCAAGACCTGAATTAGAAACACCAAGTCCCTCTCTTTACTCCTTTAACAGAGACCTCTTGCCACCAGATCATAAACGGTGATCCTGCACATTCAGGTAGGGATGACTCTGAGCTGTTAATTACAGCACCCAAATGCTAGGAACCGAATGGGCATAGGAAGCAGCCTTCCCCCTACATTTGTCCTAATTGCCACACCATGAATAACCTAGTTCACCCCATTGTACATGTCTTAGCAACTCAAAATGGGCTTCATGCTTTTCAAATACCCATGAGTTATCTTAAGGTAGGCACAAAGGTAAAAAAGGGCAAGGAAATACATTTGGAATTTTTAGAAAAGTTTCAGGGTATATGATTTCCTACACATTTTTTTTTTTTTTAAGGTATAAAATGTTTGTCTCTGGGAAGTGCCTGTGTGTCTTGCAACAGTTCCAGAAAGCAGCACAAGGGGGGGAGGGTTCAAGGCCACCGCAGCTCCGGGGTGACCAGGTACAGTGGTCACCACGCCATAGAACACGACATCTGTGACATCACGGGGCCACCAACTGGCGAGGCTGGAGACGGTTGGTGTGGGCTTGCTCTTTCTCCAAATAAGTAGGAGCGCAGTTGCTTAAGCCCGGAGATTCCGAGGGCCAAACATGCATGCACTTCTGGTGCTCTGCACATCACAAGGTCTGCTCCGCTCTCACAGATTGTAAAAGAGCCTGTTTCTCAAGTTTTATTGTAAGGCAGAGAGCACATACATCAGAAGCTACCTTTTGTCAGGCACCGGGGCTGACAAAGAGATGGGACACGCGTTTACACAAGTAAAAGACCGGATGAAGTCTCTGCTCCAAGATTTCCACTCTGTCTATAGCCGAACATCTACCCTACCAAGGCTACGCAAAGTGTTGTGCGGGCTGCCATGAGTGACACAAAGATACATGAAACACGGAGCACGTTCTGGCCCAAAGGAATTAAAAATACAGCTGGATGGAAACATGGGGACAAAAACTGGCCAACGAGCAAGAGACTCAGTGTGGATTGGGGGGAACTGTCTTGCATTCAGGAGTATTTTCTGCTCTTTGTGGCTGGACTTTGGGCAATGACTTGTACTTTTCATGTTGGGGTAAGTGGAGGGAGGAAAATTATTCTTTCTCATCATAGATAAGGGCGCACCAGGACATCGTTATCTATTATTTCAGGGAAGGAATCCCAGGCAGGGGCACTGTGGATAAAATTAAAGTGAGTTTGGAATAGGGTCCATGTTCCACTGGACTTCCACACCCAGAAGCTCTGCAGTCCCGACCTCCCAGGATTCTTCTGAGTCTAAAAGGAAGTAGTGATTTATTATACCCACTTTATAGGAGGGAACATGAGTTTTGAAGAGAAACTGCATCGAGTCTTCCTACACAGGGGAACGTTCCAGTGCCCCAGCTCCCCCAGCACACAATCCTCCGGACCCAGTCCTCCGCCACGCCCACCTCCAGCCCCCCACCACATCTTCAGTCAGATTAAAAAGGAAAAATGTGAGAGTTGCTTGTGTGTTTTTTTTAAGGGCAGTCTTGTCACTTACCTTCACTGCATAATAGTGAACCCCGTAGGTTGGGAGAGACTCCACGATGCTCATGTAGCTGGGAAGACAGACAGACAGACAGACACACACACACGAGGGTGGTTATTCAGCAGAACTGGAATCATATACGTGTGTGTGTGTGTGTGTGTGTGTGCGTGCGCGTGTGCATGACAAAGCTCTCGGAGTGATGATTTACTTGAAAATGACCCTGAACCATTCATTGCCCCCCGGAGATTGGTCTTTGCGAGCAGAACCAAACAGCCGTGACACATGCCGTGTGAACACACACAAACACAACCTCACAGGCACCAGGACGGGCCACTTACTTTACAATTGCTTGACCTCTGGTCTGGCCGTTCAGTTTCTTGTAGTGTTCAATTACTCGATCCTCGCTAGAATTACAAGACAAAGATTCCGTTACATATGGTCCCTAGGTCACCAGCCAGCACCCACCTAATGGAGATACTTCTTCCGAGCCTGAGCAATCTCCGGAGAAGCTCCAAGGAGCCAACAGCTCCTGGAGAAATGATTTGTCCTGCATGGCATTTCTGAACTCAGTCTAAGTGAGGTGGCTTGGGCTACAGATTTCCTTGGGGTCAGCTCCGTGTAAGAAATGCTACCATGTGAGGTGAGGAAGCAGCAGTGAGCATGCATGTCACTGGAGAGGGACCTAGAACGGGGGACGGGAGGGAGATTGGGGATCAGGGCAGATGTTCTGAATGCCCACATGTCTTCCTTGCCCTCCTCATCTCCCGAATCCTGTGTGCACAGGGCCTCACGGTGGCGGGGCGGGGGAGGGGGGGTGGGCCGGCAGATGTTGACCTCAACAGAATGCCCACGGCTTCCCTATTATGAATTAGTGGTCAGGGTTGAGGGCTTCCAAGGAGGATGGGAAAGTTCTGGAATCTGGGTCTGGCTAACACAAACCACAAGACAATAAAAGGCCCAGAGACGCATTGGGAAACAAACCAGCTATGAGAAGTGAGCTGGGAACTCCTTGATCTCCTAAAATCTTACTTCTAAAACAACAAGAGACCAGCTCGTGCCTTGGGAGACACTGGCCAGCCAAATGGCTCTTTGACAGGGCAGAGGGCATAAAGGGACTCTCTGAGAAGTGACTTTGGTGCCCAGGGAGCTATGGCTGCTGGCTTTGGAAGCACAGAACCCACCTGGGGAGTCAAAGGGGAAGCACATCCCACCTGCTGAGAAGTCAAGTCCAAAACACTGGGCCTCTGTGACCCGGCCACACCACCAGGAGCCCCATTTTTCTACCTTCTGCCTTATGCCTCCCTCACCTCAGGCTAGTAGGCTCCTGGTGGTGTGGCAGGACGCAGCCCTAGGGATGAACCCTCCAGATCCCTGGTTGGCCTTCATTACCTATTATTTAGTATCTCAGAGTTGATCTAAAGCCTTTTCTCGCCATTTTTTTTTTTAAGGAAAAAAAAAGGCCATTTCTGGGGGGTAACGTGTCCTATATGTTCACTAACTACTACTCAGGGGTCATTTATTGATTTGCCAATTATTATCTTAATCTTTAATGGCTGTCTCTTCATTTTAGTATTCTGAAATCTGGTGTGTGTACGATCATCTGACTCTTCACAAGCAAGTGTCCTTACAAACACCCAGAACAGGAACTGGCTAGCTACAAGGAGTCCTTCTCTCATTGGAGAGTCATTTGGATGGGGTCTGGACCCCCTCTGTTCGCAAAGGGGCAGGTGCAGCTCTGTTTCTCCTCGGCTCCCTGGCAACCCTGGACGTTCTACTCGGGAGTGTGAGAAAGCCCCCTCCCGAGAGAATTCTCCAGCAGCGTCCTGCCTGGGGAGAACCCCACCTCACCAGACCTTCGGGGTCATGTCAAGACATTCGGGGGTTGCTCTCCTAGCTTGCTCTCCTCCCACGCACTGAATCAATGGCTGCGTTGGCATGTTTCCTACCATAGGATCTAGCATTTTATGAGGTCAACTCTTGGATCCAGGCTCAAGCAACTCAGTGTAGATCTGAGGCGATTCCCTTCAGAGCTCTGGGAGGGAGGATCCCCGGGCTGGTCCAGGGAGGTCGAAATCAGTGTGGTGCTGTAGCTTCCCAGCTACACGGTCGAGGCTCAGACCAACACCGGGGAAAGTCAGAAACACCGGTAGGCAGCTGTTTAGCTGCTGACAGCTGCAGGCTCCGCCACCCCCACTGCTCCCTGGAGCTCCTCCATCGGTGAGGCCACAATATCTAGCTTCTCCTTCCTCAGCTTTTCCCACTTCTTTGGGCCCAATCGAAACACCGTGGGCCCATCCTGTGGATACACAGGCCAGGCTGACTGAGAACCCACTCTGCCCCCAGCCCCGCCCCTACTTTCTCTGGAATTTACAGATGGCTCAAGTGCGCCGAGCTTTGCAGTTTCCCAGCGACCCCAGAGCTGTGGTAGGGACTCAGTGGAATAACTATAAAAAAATGCACCAGCTGGAGTAAACAAAATCCCAAAACACTAATTGGAGGACACTGTGCTGCATGAAGGAAAAAGACAGGTGATTAAGGCTGACTATGCCTCGCCGTAAGCCGTAGTCTTTCAGTGAGATCATCTCTCCACAGGCAAGGGGCCCAGGAAATGCATGGGGGATTAGGAGGCAACATGGGGATGGCGATATGGTTTCCTGTCTTGGGGGAGCCATCGCCTGCAGTGAGCAGTGATTTTTGGAGTAAAGGCTGGTGCCCCTGCATAGCCGGTATGGATGGTGTGTGGGAGGGGGGCGTTCGGCATTTGCAAACTTGGCCCTGGAGAGTAATCCAGGTCAGGGCCCTCATACGGCTCTGTTCTGTGGCCCTGGGCACATAATTCTTTTTTTTTTTAATTTTATTATGTTATGTTAATCACCATATATTACATCATTAGTTTTTGATGTAGTATTCCATGATTCGATTCATTGTTTGCATATAATACCCAGTGCTCCATTCAATATGCTGGGCACATAATTCTAACCTCTGCCTCAGATGCCTCCCAATAGGGAAATCCCGTGGAGTAGAAGTCCAAGCTTGTTACACGCTTGGGGAAAATTAGCAGAAAGGATTACGGCACGATTACTCAACATTATTATGTACCTTTCACTATTCGCTAATTGCATCATGTGACTTACTTCCGCTCTTAATTAGTCTGGATTGGGTTGGTATGGCTAATTCCGTTTTATAGCTGGGAAACTGAGGCAGCGGAGAAGTAACTCAAGCTTCCCTGAGCTGTCATTACCCCACTGTTCAGAAATGTGGCTGGGATTCTAAAACCCATGGCTTCGCTCTCTAGGCTGTAATGCCTTTCCTGGCTAGTGTGGATGGGCTCCCTATGGCTTATTCCGGCCTGACGGTTGTCTGCCACATCCGAGAAGGCCAGCAAGAGCAGGAGAGCCTGGAAGAACTGCAAATCTGAGTCCTCCATTCGGGGATGATCAGAGCTGCAGGCAGCTGGATAGAGATTGTGCTGTCGGGGTAAGTGAAGGTCTCCTTCACCAACAAGGGGTCATGGTTACTCATAGAGATGCATGATGCTGAGGCCAAGGGACGTCTTTGAACATGCTTGGCTGCCAGCTCTATGAAGCACGAACATCACTCATCCCTTCCTGAAATCTCTGCTTTTTTAAAAGTCCAGATAAGTAGGCTGGAATATGAAGGCCAACTACAACTAGCCAACCACAGTGAAATAAGATGTTTTTTTAGCAATGAATCAACGGGATGGTCTATGCTGCTGGCTTGTCTGTATACAGCTGGGCTGTGGAGCCTGGGGGCACCCGCTTCAAAAATGGCGCCCCCTCAGTTCTGCATCCTCTCTGTGAGTGTGCCCCTGGGTCTACATGAGGCCCAGGGAAAGCCCCGGCCAGGTCACAGAGACGGAGGGAAGCTCTGGCAAGTTAGGTATGGATGTGGGTGAAGACGAAGATGTTCATGTTGACACAAGAGAAGACAGGAACATGAAGGAAGGCATTTCTGTATCAGTAATAACGTGTGAGCGTGGAGCCGAATGTGGAGACGATTAAAGAGAAATCCACAGAGAGATGGAGAGGGAGCGAGAGGGAGGAGAGAGAGGGAGATTGAGAGAGAACGAGTTGGTAAGCACGGGGTGGAAAAAATGTCTGGAAACAACTGCATGAGGAGACGGTTGAGGGCTGGTTTAGGCTAGAAGCAACTTTAACCCCAGACAACCCAGCAACGTCACAGCCCCCAGCCGGCGAATACATCCCCTCGGTGGAGGAACTACTGGTCTTCAGAGTTATAGTCTTGTGTCTCTAGCTCCTTCGCTATTGGTTCCCTAAACGTGAACAGCTGGGGGGCGGGGGCGGGGACACAGAAGATGAGGCCCAGGGAGCGTAGGGGACCGGGAGAGGGCAACTGGGCTCCAGGGACAGGGGACGGGAGTGTCATCTGTCGGTGTTCCCACGTGCAGACAGCCACGGCAGAAGAAGGCACAGTGGCATGCTAAACACACTGCGTTCTGGGGGGCAGATTATAATTCCATAAAGCCACAGCATATTGCCACCTATGTTAGCAAAGGACAAATGGCAAAAAACAGCTCAGAGAGATGAGACTGGGGTGGGCCAGCAGCCTGGAGGGAGCTCTCTGCCCCAGGACTCGGCTTCTCATTTCAGCTCCCACTGCCCCGTCACGTGGTCGCTTGAGGAGAACTGACTTCTGCACTGGAGTTTCACCCGGCCAATGCCCTCGAAGCATGCCCCACCCCAGCCATAGGGGTCTCTCAGAGCCACCTGCATGGCTGAGCCACGAGTGTGCTGACTGCAGACGTGTCCAGAGGCGAGGACATGTTAGTAATCCGTACGTTTCATAAAGCAGAGTAAAGAAGTGCTTAGAAGAGTCACATGATACAATTGATCAGGACTGACCTGTTCTGCGATTTTTGTTTTATTACTATTGTTGTTTTATTATTTATTTATTCTTATTATTTTATTATTGTTGTTTATAAAAACAGTCAACGCTCACAGCAAGTCAGCAGGGACATGAGGGACACGGCATGCTGCCTGTCGGGGTGCGGGCAGCAGCCAGGGCCCATGCACACAGCAGAGTTTGCGCACATCACCCAGGAATGCAGGCCCCGCTCCACCGTGACCAGAACCGTAATCCGGGACACTTTCGCATGCCCGTTTTGTTCAGAATCAGTAATTCAGGGCCTGACAGATGAACTAGGGCGGAATGTTACATGGCAGCCAAATCAGGAGATATGAAACATTGTAGGAAAATCAAAGAATCAATCTCTCTCTTCTGCGAAGAAAAAAAAACAACCCCGTAGTCCTCCCACATCTCAAAACCTCACACATCCTGTCATCAAATGACCAGGATTCCAGTACGAAACTCGAGCAGCACACGAAAGGGTCTCCAAGGAGTTTGCAAAGCATCTAAAGTGAAATTTTAGAAGGTTTTTTTTTTTTTCCTCTTGTTAAAGAAAATAGAAAAAGGAGGTCTCACGCAAACCATGGCATCTAAATACATGCGGGAAATGGTCTGACCAAGGCCCAAGTCGCTCAGACAAGATGGAGTCGGTCGGGCTGGGGTCCAGCCTGACCCTCGGCCATCCCGAGCCCCCGGCGCCCCGGGGCGGGCTTGCTCCTGAGGGGTGTGTGGAGGGGGCGCAGCTTACCAGTAGGCCAGGGAAGGGTGCTCCTTCAGGGCTTGAGTGGGAAGCGCAGGCAACTTCTTCAAGTCACTCCTCACCACCTCATTGCTGGAAGAGAGGGAGGGGACAGAGAATGCCAAGGAATGGCTCACCCTCCGTCCAAGAAAGCCACCGCGCACTCTGGGATCTGACCCGACCCAGGAGCCTTGGCTGAGAGACCCCACATCTGTTCCCTTTGAATGAAAAGTGCGGGGCGAGGAAGGGGTGCTCCGTTCTAATTTAATAAAGAGGAAAGAGAACACACAGGGTGCAGGGCCCAGCGGCCCTCTCCCCTGGGGTGCAGAACAGGGCAGAGCAGACTGCTCACAGGAGGCCGCTACACGGAGCGGGACACAGACCCAGTGCCCCCCAAGTGGCAAACGAATCTGAGAGAAGAAGGGTCACCAGAGAAGCTCCCAGGGATCCGGCAGGGGCTCAAGGGCCTCTGAGAATGGACTGCTTCCCCTTGAGAGCTGTTTCCCTTGCTGACACCCAATGCTGGTTTTCTTGGCTTGGATTGACCACATGCTGGAAACTGTTGTCCAAAATATGACAAATAAATAACTTTTGCTTTTGACAAGGCCTGGAAATGACTCTGAGAGTGGGAAGTGGATTATCTGATACTCAATGGAGGTCCTGGCACCAGAAATCCTTTTCCCCACAAACTCACATGTTCTCAGGTTTGAAGGACACTTAAAAGTCTTCTGGGTTTTACCCAGTGCTCCTCAGAGCCTTCACTCCAGTCCGCACACTCAACAGCCCTGCAGCCCCACTGGGCCAGTGCATTTGCCGTTTGTACCCACTCTACCTCCAAAGGCAATCCCTGGCCTCGGCCCTGGGGTGGTTTTGGTATTCAGAGGTCCAGCAAGCGTCTCATGGCCCCTGCGGGGCTGGCAGAGGCTCACCCCACGGAGCCTGCCTTGGTCCTCAGTTCTAACTTTTGTGCTGCTCACACAAAGCAAGGCAGATTTTGGTCACTGGGACGCTGGGCAATAACATCAGAAGAGCAACGAGTTGGGAGTTCGGTAAGTAGATATGGAGGAAGGAGAAGCAGTCACAGACGGGGAACCCCTGCGGCATCTGCACGGCAAACACCCCGACACCCATGCTGCTCACCGGAGGATGCGCCCTCCATGACATCCCACCCAGAGGGGAATGCCGTCCTCGGCAATGGACCAGCAGCTCCCCTCTGGATACCCCGTGCCACTGGGCAAAACCACTCCAGTACTTTCAGTTCATCGATGTGGTGACAAAGAAACACATGGATGTTGGCCGGGGACAGAGCCACTCGCAGAAAGGGCGTTTCCCAAGTGGAGTGAGAAACGGTGCGGGCGATGTTTGTGAGTCCTTGGCTTTGAACCAACCAACCGGAAGGCTCAACTTGCTACTGTTTGAATCAATAAATCCAAGTATTTCAACTGTTATCACCTAAGAGGTAAGGCAAGGATTTATCAATTAATCACTAAGAAGCTGAAGGTATTTGGGGAGCCCCCGCTGTAGGGAAGGTAGTGCAGGGGATGCAAAAATGATAAGCCACAGTCCTCACCCAAGAGGTGCTCACAAGTTAGTGGGCAGGCATGACACGCGAAAAGAAAGGTAACTGAATGTAAGTAAGGGCAGCGTTTGATCATGTTGACGCAACGAATTCAATAGCTCAGAGGAAAGAGAGCCCCCTGGGCTCCTGGGGAAGAGCAAGCTTTGGGGCAGGGTCTGCATTCCTAGGAATATCCTTTTCTCCTTGGTGGGACACAGTGGAGCGTGGCAGCAGGTACACTGAGCCAGGAAGATCGACTAGAGTGTGTATGGGGGGGTGGTGAGGGGAAATAAGGCCAGCCGCTAGGCAGATTCGGCACAGAATTGTGAGGACCTTCAATACCAGGCTCAGGGAGTTCAAACGCATCCAGTAGGTAATGGTTAGTCCCTGGAGGTTTTTAAACAGCGAAGCTCCCCGTTTCAGGACAATTCAATTCCCAAGCAGGGTTTGAAATTTTTACTCCCACGCTATGAGGGCATAGTGTAAAATATTCAGTTCACCAAACACTGGAGAGCCCAAATGATGAATTTCTGGAGCTTACCTCTCCCCTGTTTAAGTATAAGCACACCAAGAACAGGGATTTGAGTCTCTGTAAATATCGAAAAGCACTCTTTGGGGATGAACTTTTACTGACCAAAGCTGTGGGAGAAACAGTGAAGCTGAAGCTGGAGTTTGAGTTTACTCACACTCATCCCATTTAGAGTACATTTGGGGAAGGAAGGAGCTCAAGGAGGAAGGGATTGTCTTACCCACCAAACACTAGTTTGTTGGCAAACAGGTTTCCCCGATGACAATCACAGGCTTGACTTCCTCGCTGGAGACTGCAGGGGCTTCTCCAGCTCTCCCCCAGGGCAAGGTTACACAGACAAATATAACAAGAAATCACTAAGGCGTGAAGCCCGTCCAAATCCATTACATTCTGGAAGGGATCCATGGCTCTTAATCCTTCCCAAAGGACAACTATGTAGAAATGTTCTCTTTGCCTTTCTGCTGTCCGTAAACATCTGCACTAACTTAGAGGTAGTCAGCCCTGTGGAATGATCTGGCCCTGCTCTGTGGCCGTGTATCACACAGTTGCCCCGATGGGAGACCTGGTCACCCCATCTCGAGGTGTGAGAAGCTAAAACCTAATGAATATGCTAGAAGTTCCCAGCTTCCTCTCTCAGGATCTTCCACTGACTTGGACATCTCCCCCAGAGTTCAGTGCACCCGATAAATGCCAACTTAGAAGACACCTGAAAACAGTTCATGTTTCATTTTTAGAAAAAGAAAAATGGTCTCTTGGAGTGTCATTTGCTAAACTGAGAATAAAACCAAAGTTTTTCTTATTTTAAACATTAACCAGATTATTTTTCTTTTTTCTTTTTTTTTTTTAAAGATTTTATTTATTTATTTCAGAGAGAGAATGAGAGAGAGAGACAGCACATGAGAGGGGGGAGGGTCAGAGGGAGAAGCGGACTCCCTGCTGAGCAGGGAAACCGATGCGGGACTCGATCCTGGGACTCCAGGATCATGACCTGAGCCGAAGGTAGTCGCTTAACCAACTGAGCCACCCAGGCGCCCAGATTCTTTTTCTTAAAAGATTTATTTATTTATTTGAAAGACAGAGAGAGAGCTAGAGAGAGAGAGCGCACGAGCAGGGGGAGGGGCAGGGAGAGGGACAAGCAGACTTCTCGCTGAGCAGGGAGCCCGATGCGGGACTCGATCCCGGGACCCTGGGATCATGACCCGAGCTGAAGGCAGACGCTTAAATGACTGAGCCACCCAGGTGCTCTGTTAACCAGATTCTATTAAAAACTTTTAGGTAATTATTAACGTTGCCAGCAAAAAAGGGGACTCCCGATGCTGTGCCAGTCTTTGGTTTAGGGGGCCTTTTGAGATGATGGGCCTCTCTTCTACCACCTACACTGCTCATCAACCATAGGAAGTTTGAGTGATCTACTAAAAAAACTTTCTAAGATTTCTAGGAATACATCAAACGGGGAATTTGCCTGAATAACAGCAACGACAAATTTAACTAAGACACCATAAAGTCAAGGAAGCAAAAATCATATTTGAGAGCAAATTAGCAAAATCCACATGGGTTTGTTTTCCTTTAAAAAATGAGGAAATACTTTTTCAGGAGATTCTCCTTGGGTTAAATGAGATGTCCATAATTTGCGGGACAAATCTGGGGCAAAGAGAACATGCTTAGTGCAGCAGACTTCTTCCTGCATCCAGGGGTTTTGATGCACATGGTACTAAAACACTAAAGAGCACTAAATAGGGAGCATTGCCCTGAAATTCAGAAAAGGCAACACGGTGCTCGTGTCACACTAATGTCTCCATGCCTCCCATCATGAAGCTCAAGTTCCCCAGGGGGAGGGACTTCATAAGTAAAGGAGTCCTCATGACCCACAATTCCCAAGTCTGAAAAGCTCTAAGAAACGGACATTTCTTAACCCAATTGGTTGGCAAACCTAAACTTTTCACACAAGGCAATGTTTGACCTTTCTCTGTTCCATTTGGTGCACATATCCATGTTCTGGCACAGGCATGGTCAGAGACGGGGCTCCCGGAGGCCCCCCAGACCCTGACATGGTGTGCAGGAATACCCCGAATCACTGTCTAAAACCTGCAAATTTCTGAATTTGGAATCACGGGGACTGAAGTTTCAGACATGCACTGTGGGTCTCTACAACTTTATTCGATGGTACAATGAATCTAGAAACCTCTGAGATAGATTAATAAGGGAAGCTGTGTATTTTTTCTTCTTTGCTGCTCTTTTTTTTTTTTTAAGATTTTATTTATTTATTTGACAGAGAGAGAGATAGCAGATGGCGAGAGCAGGAACACAAGCAGGGAGAGTGGGAAAGGGAGAAGCAGGCTTCCTGCCAAGCAGGGAGCCCGACACAGGGCTCCAACCCAGGACCTCGGGATCATGACCCAAGCTGAAGGCAGATGTCCAACGACTGAGCCACCCAGGCGCCCCTTCTTTGCTGATCTTTAAAAGCCATGCAGGAGGGGCGTCTGGGTGGCTCAGTCTGTTAAGCATCTGCCTTTGGATTTCCCTGATGCCGAGCGATGGTGAGCACTTTTTCATGTGTCTGTTGGCCATTTGGATGTCTTCTTTGGAAAAATGTCTGTTCATGTCTTCTGCCCATTTCTTGATTGGATTATGTGTTTTTTAAGTTAATCAAAAAAAGACATGTATCATATGATCTCACTGATATGAGGAATTCTTAATCTCATGAAACAAACTGAGTATTGCTGGAGTGGTGGGGGGTGGGAGGGATGGGGTGGCTGGGTGATAGACACTGGGGAGGCGCTGTGAATCGTGTAAGACTGTTGAATCACAGACCTGTACCCCTGAAACAAATAATACATTATATGTTAAAAAAAAAAAAAAGAGAAGATAGTAGGAAGGGAAAAATGAAGGGGGGGAAATCGGAGGGGGAGACGAACCATGAGAGACTATGGACTCTGAGAAACAAACTGAGGGTTCTAGAGGGGAGAGGGCTGGGGGGATGGGTTAGCCTGGTGATGGGTATTAAAG